GCTATTCTTAGAAGGCTCTAGAAGTCCTGTTCTGACCTATTAAAAATTAGTTATGTTGTTGTTGTTAGGTCCATCGAGTCGGTACCGACTCATAGTGACCTTATGCACAGCAGAATGAAACACTGCCCAATCCTGGCCCAATCTCACTACCGTTGAGTCCATCGATGCTGCCACTTGACCAGTCCATCTCATTGGGGTTCTTCTTCTTTTTCTCTAACCCTCCACCTTACCAAACATGACCTCCTTCTCCAGCGACTGTTCCCTCCTGACAGTATGTCTGAAGTATGAGAGACAAAGTTTGGCCATCCTGACTTCCAAGGAGCACTCTGGCTGCACTTCTTCCAAAATGGATCTATTGGTTCTTTGGCAGCCCATGGCACTTTCAATATTCTCCTCCAACACCATAACTCAAAGGCGTCAATTCTTCTATGGTCTTCGTTATTCACTGCCCAGCTTTCACATGCTTATGAGGTAATTGAAAATACCGTGGCTTGGGTCAGGCGCACCTTAGTCATCAAGCTGACATCTTTGCTCTTCAACACTTTAAAAAGGTCTTGTGCAGCAGATTTGCCTAATGCAATATGTCATTTGATTTCATGACTGCTGCTTCCATGAGTGTTGATCCAAGAAGAATGAAGTCCTGACAACTTCGATCTTTTCTCCATTGATAAGAATGTTGTTTATTGGTCCAGTGGTGAGGATTTTTGTTTTCTTTATATTGAGATGCAATCCATACCAATGGCTGTGCTCTTTGATCTTCATCAGTAAATATTTTAAATCCTCTTCACTTTTCAGCAAGCAAGATTGTATCATCTTCATATCGCAGGTTGTTAATGAGCCTTCCTCCAATCCTGATGCCATGTTTTTCTTCATATAACCCAGCTTCTCGGATTATTTGGTCAACATACAGGTTGAATAAGTATGGTGAAAGAATACAACCTTGTCACACAACTTTCTTAATTTTAAACCATTCAAAGCCATATTTATACCCTAGTCTGAAAATTCACTTGACATTCTAGCTCTCATTTCAAATTATTGTCAGTTCTATTGTCCCATATCACTAGAAGATTTTGTGCAAATACATTTATTTCTTTTTCACAATATCTTAGAAATAGTTTAAATAATGTCATGCTGAAACTATAAAAATATTTTGGATTTGGATATAAACTCCTTCTAGTTATTACATGTAAATCAAAAATGTTCCATTTCTTTACCACGTGTTAATTAAAGTACAAAGTTCTTTTCTCCTCGATTTCTTGCCCTGCTCAGCCTTCAACAAATGGTCTCATTCAGATAGAATTTTAGTTCCTTCAGCAGGAGAACAAGCCCTAGTGGTGCAGTGGTGAAGCACTCATCTGCTAATTGAAAGGTGGACAGACAGAACTCCGTGGCACTGCAGGAGAAAAGACCTGGCAATCTGCTACCTTAAAGATTACAGGAAACAAAAATCCTCACAACTGGACCAGTCAATAACATCATGATAGATGGAGAAAAGACCAAAGACTTCATTTTGCTTGGCTTTACAATCAACACTCATGGAAGCAGCAGTCAAGAAATCAAATGACCTTATTATATTAGGCAAATCTGCTGCACACGACCTCTTTAAAGTGTTCAAAAGCAAAGATATTAGTTTGAGGACTAAGGTTGGCCTGACCCAAGCCAGGCTATTTTTAATAGCCTCATATGCATGTGAAAGTTGGACGATGAATAAGGAAGAACATAGAATTGATGCATTTCAGTTACGGTGTTGGAGAAAAATATTGAAAGTGCCATGGGCTGCCAAAAGAACAAACAGATCTGTTGGAAGAGGTGGAATGGGAGTGCTCCTTAGAAGCCAGGATGACAAAACTTCATCCCTTGTACTTCAGACATATTATTAAGAAGGACTGGTCTCTGAAGAAGGACATTGTACTTGGTAAAATGGAGGGTCAGGGAAAAAGAGGAAAACCGCCAATGAGATGAATTGTCACATTAGCAGTAGCAATGGGCTTAAATGAACAATTGTGAGGTTGCATAGGGTTGCTATGAGTTGGAGTCAATTTGATAGCACCCAACATTAATAACAATAAAGATTACAACCTGGGAAACCAGGTGAGGTATTTTTGCTCTGTCTTTGGGGGTTGCTGTAAGTCAGAATCAACTGGACAGCAATGGCTGGGTTTCCACAGCAGAAGTCTCCTGAGGACCTAGTTTCCATAAAGTACAGAGCGGGAACTCTGAGGCAGTTCCAGACCCTGGAGGACCTGCCATCATCCGTCTTTAGACTTGGAAGTGTCTCCCATGGATGAATTGCCTATGGCACTGGGCCATAGACAGACCTAGAGTGCAGTAGATCTAGAATGGACAAGGTTTGCTGTTGCAATGCTTGGAATTAAACAGGCCAGTAGGAAATAATGGAGAAACAAGGCCAAAGTGATAAGCATATTTGATTTTTTCTTTCAGAACTTAAACTTTATTTTTAAAATGTTGCTGCTGAATTCCTATTCCATTTCTCAGATAAACCATGAGGAGATCAGGGACAATTTGGTGAAACACAGTCTCTAAGAAACAAAGGACAACCCAGTTACATAAGACAGTTACATAAGATGGGCAGTCTGTGATGGATTACATTTGTTTTTCCAAAAGCATTAGCACCTTTGCAATAGAGAACATGTCTAACTGTACCTCTCTAGAAATAGTAGAAGAAAATTAAAAGTGAGGGTTTTCTGTAGAAAGGCTATTGTGAAAGTAAACATTATAAGTGAAGATGTCTCTTTTAGAATATAAAAACAAAAGGAACCAAACCATTTTCCCAACCTGTATACAAGTAATCAGAGAGAAGCTGAAAGCAGAAAACTACCCAGTAGAGCCACGAGAAGTTCTTTGGGCCTTTGAAACACGGCTGCAGCTGCTTTCAATGGGTACCAAATTCTTAAGGTCAAAGCGGAAGAACTTGTGAAGGGCATTTTCCCAAGTAGGCCTTCCTGGTCCTTCCTCATGTTGTTGAACAATACCTTTAACATCACTGTCAAGTAAAACTTTGATGAAGACTATTAAAAACAGTTGGAGCAGTATATTGACAGGCAACTGCCAAAAATTTAAACTGGATTCAGAAGAGGACATGGAATGATGTCAGGTGGATCGTGGCTGAAAGTAGAGAATTCCAGAAAGATGTTTGTCTGTTTTTTTATTGACTATGCAAAGATATTTGACAACGTGGGTCCTAGCAAATCATGGATGATTTTGAGGAGAATGGGAATTTCAGAACACTTAATTGC